GGGGGGGGGGGGGGGGGGGAGGCTCCGTGCACCCTCCCACTCCACCCCAGTGGACAGCCCAAGCAAAAGGCTGTCGTTATTTTGAACTTTTGAAGTGGCCTTTTCCTTCCCTCCTATCCTCCTCCCAAACCCCACCTGGGCTACCTTATCAGTTCTCTCCCTATGTTTATAATCAATTAATAAAGAATACATGATTTTTAAATGATAGTGACTTTATTTCCTTTGAAAGCAAGCTGTGATCGAAGGGGGAGGGTGGGTTGCTTACAGAGAACGAGTCAATCAAGGGGGCAGGTTTTCATCAAGGAGAAACAAACAGAACTGTCACACCATAGCCTGACCAGTCATGAAACTGGTTTTCAAAGCTTCTCTGATGCGCAGCACTTCCTGGTGTGCTCTTCTAATCGCCCTGGTGTCTGGCTGCGCGTAATCAGCGGCCAGGCGATTTGCCTCAACCTCCCACCCCACCATAAAGGTCTCCCCCTTACTCTCACAGAGAATGTGAAGCACACAGCAAGCAGCAATAACAATGGGAATATTGGTTTGGCTGAGGTCTGAGCAGTAACGTGCACCAGCGACCTTTAAACATCCAAAGGCATATTCTACCACCATTCTGCACTTGCTCAGCCCGTAGTTGAACAGCTCCTGACTACTGTCCAGGCTGCCTGTGTATGGCTTCATGAGCCATGGCATTAAGGGGTAGGCTGGGTCCCCAAGGAGAACTATAGGCATCTCAACATCCCCAACGGTTATTTTCTGGTCTGGGAAGTAAATCCCTTGCTGCAGCCGTTTAAACAGACTAGTGTTCCTGAAGACACGAGCGTCATGAACCCTTCCTGGCCATCCCATGTTGATATTGGTGAAACGTCCCTTGTGATCCACCAGTGCTTGCAGCACCATTGAAAAGTACCGCTTGCGGTTTATGTACTGGCTGCCCTGGTGCTCCGGTGCCAAGATAGGGATATGGGTTCCATCTATCGCCCCACCACAGTTAGGAAATCCCATTGCAGCAAAGCCATCTACTATGACCTGCACATTTCCCAGAGTCACTACCTTTGATAGCAGCAGCTCAGTTATTGCTTTGGCTACTTGCACCACAGCAGCCCCCACAGTAGATTTGCCCACTCCAAATTGATTACCGACCGGTAGCTGTCTGGCATTGCAAGCTTCCACAGGGCTATCGCCACTCGCTTCTCAACTGTGAGGGCTGCTCTCATCTTGGTATTCTGGTGCTTCAGGGCAGAGGAAAGCAAGTCACAAAGTTCCATGAAAGTGCCCTTACGCATGCGAAAGTTTCGCAGTCACTGGGAATCGTCCCACACCTGCAACACTATGCGGTCCCACCAGCCTGTGCTTGTTTCCCGGGCCCAGAATCAGCGTTCCACGGCTAGAACCTGCCCCATTAACAACATGATCTCCAAAGCGCCGGGGCCCGCGGTTTGAGAGAATTCTGTGTCCATGTCCTCATCACTCTCATCGCCGCACTGCCATAGCCACCTCCTCCTTGCCTGGTTTTGCAGGTTCTGGTTCAGCATAGACTGCACAATAATGCGCGAGGTGTTTACAATGTTCATGACTGCTGTCTTGAGCTGAGCGGGCTCCATGCTTGCCGTGGTATGGCGTCTGCACAGTTCACCCAGGAAAAAAGGCGCGAAACGGTTGTCTACCGTTGCTTTCACGGAGGGAGGGAGAGGGGGGCCTGACGACATGTACCCAGAACCACCCGCGACAATGTTTGTTGCCCCATCAGGCATTGGGATCTCAACCCATAATTCCAATGGGCGGGGGAGACTGCGGGAACTATGGGATAGCTATGGGATAGCTACCCACAGTGCAACACTCCGGAAGTCGACGCTAGCCTCGGTACATGGACGCGCACCGCGGAATTAGTGTGCTTAGTGTGGCCACATGCACTCGACTTTATACAATCTGTTGCCAAAAATCAAATTCTGTAAATTCGAAGTAATCCCGTAGTGTAGACCTACCCTTAGAAATCTCCAACAATGGGGATGCCACAGCCTCCCTTGGAACCTGTTCCAGAGCTGAACTACCCTGAGAGTTAGAAAGTTTTTCCATATTGCCCCGCCTATAAAAGGAGGGCTAATGCGTCCCTACCTCTCAGGCATGGCATAAGGATGCAAAGCAAGGCCTTATGCTCAACTTGATGATATGTCTGTCTGTCTGCATCTGCTCCATTCCAGAATTGCAGGGAATGTTGTAGGTTTCCATGGGTGGAGATCTATTGATCTGGGGGACAATGGGGGAACCAGAAAATCCTGATTGCTATGGTTATATAGGTTCTGGATACTGGGGTGAGGCAGTGACCTCAGGGTGAGGGTAGAGGTTAAGTTAGGGCTAGGGTGTCAGAGAGCTCTCTCTGCTGCAGCAGAAAATAGGCATTCTGGGGGCTGGATTTTAGTGGCCACCAAGCTGCTGGAAGCCTGTTGCCTCCAAGATCTGACCATATATACTGAGCAAGGGAGTCACCCAATGAAATGAATGGCCCTGACATTTTCAAGAAAAGAAAGGAAGCAGTCCCAGGGCCTGTGGGACTCCGCCTACATGAAGCCATTGAGTGCTGTGGCTGGCTTTTTCCTTTGTCTGATTGTCCATAACCATTTGTAGGGATTGAAACAGAGTGTTCATATCTAACCCTTCAGGGAGCACAGTGGTCACCCATGGAGCCTGGGCGCCTCTGCGTGAAGACACTTCCCTGCTCTCGCTCCTTGCAAACGAGAGTTCGCACTTTCCTCTGAAACCTCAGGCTCCAGCTGGTCCGCTCTGTAAATACCGGTTCCTCCCATTCTCGCTCTCCGCTTCTGACCCACGACCCCATCAGCCCCGGGACAGGCGTTTCCTTCCCTCGCCTCACGGAATGGATTGAAGTGCTGGCAGCAGCAGCAGCCGCAGCCGGGGGGGCCTGCAGCTCACCCCCGCCCTCCCCCCAGAGCTGCCACCCCAGTTGCTACTCCTGCTGGAGCTCGCGCTTGTGAATGAATTTCCGCCCCCCCGCGCGCGCCTTTCCCTGCTGTGTGCGCGTCCTCCAGCACTTCTGTCTCCGTGAGCTCATCCTCCGCGGCAGCCAATGGGATCGCCCCGGCTCCTTCCCACCGAGGAGCGCTGGTGCTGGGGAGCCGGGCCGGCGCTCGTGGTCCAGGCTCAGCCAGGCGTGGGAGCGGGGGGGTGGGGGGCTGATGCAGCTTCGGGTCCAGCCGCCGGGGACCCCGAAGGGCTGGGAGCGAACACCCCGGTGGCGTCCATGCCAGGGGAGGGGACCATACGGCTGGGGAGACGCGCCGTGATGTACACGGCGGAGACGATTCCCAAGGGGAAGAACCGAGTGATGGGGGTGAGTGTGGCTGAGAGATGGGAAAAGGGGGGGGGCTGCACTGGGCAGGGGGGTGCGGGGACTGGCAGGGCCTGAACCGCCTCCGAGTGCCGGGGAGAGGTGGGGCGCTTCCCCCTCCTGGCCTGCGCTATGCGGGTTGTCAGAGGAGGACCATAGCACTCCCTCCTGGGCTGGAAATCCATCAGCCAAAGCCCCCTGCCGCTGCCCCTCGGGGGGCCCCCTGCCCGGGCTGCTCTTCCTTGAGAGGTGCTTTTGTGGCAAGGTGACCCCCACGCAAGGGTGACCAGATGTCCCAGTTTTATAGGGACACTCCCAATATTTGGGGCTTTGTCTTATATAGGGGCAGATTACCCCCCACCCCGTCCTGATTTTTCACACTTGCTATCTGGTCGCCCTGCCTCTTGCTCAGGGGCCTGCAAGCCTGATTCTCCAGCTGGTGGAGGGAGGGGCAGGCAGACCTGGGCTGACACCTGTTCCAGCTGGCACCCCCAGGTGCTGCCAGCCGTGGGATTGGCAGCTGGCCAGGGTGAGCATGTCACTGGCGGCAGCAGGGGCTCTGGTCAGTGTCAGGAGAGCAGAGTCCCAGTGCCAGCACGGGCATAGTGTGAGGGTTCCAGGGCCTGCCCACTGAGGGCACTCTGCTCTGCCTTGGCTTCCATGGTCAGCCCTGCTCCCTCCCTCTGCTTGGGAGGGCAAAGGCTGGCAGCCCCACAGAACTCCCTGGGCCTGTTCTCTCCTGCCGGAAGCTCCACAGAGCAAAGCACAGCTCCCAGACACGGCAGATTCATAGGCCCATTCTCCTGCTGGCAGAGGCTGAGGTTTCTGCAGAGCTGTGTCCTAGCTGGGGGTTACAGAGCTTTGCTTTGGAGCAGTGGGGAGCATCTTTTGCAGGGCTACCCTCTGGCTGGGTAAAGAGCAGCCCCCAAAAGGAAGGGTGCTGGCCATGCACGGAGGGGGATATGCTGGGGGGACATGGGGACCCCCCACAATCCCAGAATATGGCAGAAGAAGGAATCTGGCCCTTGCACTGTCCTGCCTTCAGGGCCTTTCATGATGCTCTTCCCAGACACCATTGAGGATGTCAGAACTCATCACACAGCAATTCCTGCCTTCCCCCTTCTCTTGTTCTCCTCTGGCTCTGGCCTATGGTCCTGAGCTCAGTGTGGCTAGGAGTCAACCACTGCTGAGCACTAAACCCAGCTTGGTTGGGTGGAAGTGCTACAGCAGGTCACTTCACTGCTCTGCCTCAATTTCTACATCTATCAAACAGGGAGAATATGGGAGGGTTAGTTGATGTTTGTGTCACTGACCCCTGCTTGAGTCAACAGTGGGGTTTGAACTCTCAAAGCTAAAAAGCACAAGCTACGCGGTGATAAGCTGCAACAGTGCCCTTAATGGCCCATACCTAGCCCATGCTGCATTTGCACAATGCTTTTGAACTTTAGAGCTGCTGGGCACCCCTCTGTAAAGTCAGCAGTGTGATGGCAGAGGTGACTGTGACCCATGTTATTGCTGTGATCATTCTCTCAGACTATCCAGATCATGATGGGCTTCATGCACATCGGCTTCGGGATTGTCCTGACGACCATCACCAACGTTTACACCTCTGTCTTTGTGATTGGAGAGATCCCCTTCCTGGGAGGAGTGTCTGTGAGTAGCATAAATGGAACTGAATGAATCCAGGCTGGGTTGGCTTCCCATGACCATCCCATGTTCTCCCCTCTCCTCCCTCTTTGGGCTGGCTTTCCATGACCATCCTGTGTTCTCCCCTCTCAGCCCACCTCAGACTGGCTTCCCATGACCAGCCCATTTTCTCTCCTCTCTACCCACCGAGGACTGGGTTTGTATGACTGTCCCATGGCCTAGCCAGAGGGGATTGTCTCTCACTTGCAATGTCTTTTAGAGGCACATACAGAGGATCGGAATGCTGACGAATTAGATGGATTATTATTATTTATGTTGCAGTATCTCCTGGGGCCCCTAGTCCTGGACCAGGACCCCATGGTGCTAAGTGCTGTGCAGACACAAAACAAAAAGATGATCCATGCCCCAGGCCCGGATCCTCAGGGGTATTTAGGGACTTAATTCACTGATTTCAACAGGAGTCAAGCTGCCACTTACCTTTGAGAGTTTGGGCCTTAGTGACCCTGTGCCTGAAAGTATAGGGCCTACTTACCTGGAGAAACCCACCTTCCAGCCAGACAGCAGAGCTTCCTGATTGCAGGAGTCCAGAGAGGTAACTGCTTTCTGGCAGAAGCAGACTCTGTTTCCTGAGCTCCCCATCCTGTTTACCCTAGCAGGGAGAAGGCGTCCATGCTCCCGCCTCATTTCCATCAGAGACGGATCCCTTAGGAGAACCAGAATTTATCCCAAAGTTTAAAGAGACCCACAGCTTAATAATATGTGGCTGTGAAAAAGACTAATGCAGTCCTAGGATGCATCAGGCAAGGTATTTCCAGTAGAGACAGGGAAGTGTTAATATCCATTATACAAGGCTCTGGTGAGACCTCATCTGGAGTATTATGTGCTTCCATGTTTAACAAAGATGAATTCAATCAGGAACAGGTGCAGAGAAGGGCTACTAGGATGTTCTGAGGAAAGGAAAACCTCCCTTATGAGAGGAGACTCAAAGAGCTTGGCTTGTTTAGCCTAACCAACAGAAGGCTGAGGGAGATGTGATTGCTCTCTATAAATACATCAGAGGGATAAATACAGGGAGGGAGAGGAGTTATTTAAGTTAAGTGCCAATGTGGACACAAGAACATATGGATATAAACTGGCCATCAACAAGTTTAGGCTTGAAATTAGAGGAAGGTTTCTAGCCATCAGAGGAGTGAATTTCTGGAACAGTCTTCCAAGGGGAGTAGTGGGGGCAAAAAACCTAACTGGCTTCCAGACTGAGCTTAATAAGTTTATGGAGGGGATGGTATGACAGGACTGCCTACAATAGCATGTAGCCGATCTGCGACTGCTAGCAGCAAATATCTCCAGTAGCTGGTGATCAGACATTAGGTGGAGAGGGCTCTGAGTTACTACAGATAATTCTTTCCCAGGTGTCTGGCTGGTGAGTCTTGCCCACATGCTCAGGGTCTAATATTTGGGGTCAGAAAGGAATTTTCCCTCGGGTCAAATTGGCAGAGATCCTGGTGGTTTTTTGCCTTCTTCTGCAGCATGGGGCATCGATCACTTGCAGGTTTAAACTAGTGTAAATGGTGGGTTCTCTGTAACTTTAAGTCTTTAAATCATGATTTGAGGGCTTCAGTAACTCAGCCAGAGGTTATGGGTCTATGACAGAAGTGGGTGGGTGAGGTTCTATAGCCTGCAATGTGCAGGAGGTCAGACTAGATGATCATGATGGTCCCTTCTGACCTTAAAGTCTATGATACAGTAATGGCATGCTCAACTGTATTATACTGTTCCAGCAGTAGGCAGTGCTGTGTGTGGCCTGGTCTACACTACGAGTTTAGGTCGACTTTAGCCGCGTTAAA